CCCCCTAAGAAATTTAAATTTTAAAAAAAATTAATCCGTTTTCCCACACCCATAAGTATTAAAAAAAAAAAAATTTTTTAAAAAATGAATATACATTAGTACAAAAAACAATACAAAGGGAAATTAAAAATGAAACATTATACAATAAAAATTACCTTTATTGGAGATTCTTCTTTAGTGGGATGGGAACTGGGGGAGGAGAGAGAGTGGGTTTTTTATAGTTTGGAAAGGGGAAAACCCCTTCCATCAAAAACCTCAGGTACCAAAAACTTTTCCCGGGGTTGGGTTCCTTTCTTTGTTTTTTAATCCACAGGGCCACCTTAGCCTGGATCCTGTCTCACAAAATAAATGTGGAGAGAAGCTCTGTTTTTGCCCTCTCTTTAACACTTCCCTAAAATGGGGCCCCGACTTTGGCACTGGGACATTTGCCAACCTTTGGGAAACAACAACCTTGTTAGGGTGATGTTTTTCTCCATAAACTTTCCCTCTTACCCCACAATAAAAATCACTTTAAATTTTTTTAAAAAAGGCAAACCCTTCTTTTTATCTCTCTTCCCCCCTCCCCTGCAGCAAGATTCTAAACTGGATCTGTTGCTCTCCTGCCCCGAAGCCTTTTCAGCTCCTCAGTGGTTTAGCTTTTTTATTGTGGTCCCTTTCCCCCAAAATTTTTCCCATCCTCCAATCCCCAACCAAACCCCCTGGAACTCCCCCCGTGGGCCTAGTTGATTTTTTTAACAACATAGGCTCATTAGGGGCAGTCCCCAAAATTTTTCAAAATCCCCCTTGTCACACAATCTGGCCACAATTTTTTTCCAGGGAGATTAAAGTCCTGGTAGTCACTCCCCCCCAAGGGCCCAAACCCATAAGGGGGGATGCAGTGGAGGAAGCTGAAGTGTTTTCCCCTTTTCCCAAAAATTTCCCTTTGGGGCAAGTAAATGTCTGTGGGGTTTACAGTCAACCCCCCTGGGGGAAACACTGCTTTTTTGTATTTTTTTTTTTTAAAATTTTGCAAAAACCTGCTGGTCCATGGGGTTTGGGGGAGAGAGTGGTAAATTCCGGGGGGAAGAACTTTACTGTGATGAACCCAAACTCCCGAAAATTAAATCATTTTCCCAATTTTTGGGGGATGAGCAGGTGCATTGTCCCTTAGTACTGGCACTTGAGATCCCCAAATTTTTTTTCCCCGGAATACTCCTTTACAAATAGGGCCAAACACTTCCCATTGAACCACTCGAAAGAAAATTTTCCCCTTTAAACCCCCGCCCTTTCTATTAGATTTTTAAAACACAAACAATTTTTCCCCTTCAAAAATGGTTTTTTTTCCCGAACACTCTGGGAATTTTTAGAATTGGGACCTAGTTATGGCTTCCCCTTTAGAAAACCCCACTAGCATTAAAACAGAACTTAAACATCAGCCGTCCTTTTAAAAGGCTTTTTGGGGCCTGGGATTGGGCCTTTTTTCCCCTTGGAAAAAGAAGGTCCTCTTTTGGGAAATTTTCCCTTTCCAAAAAAGGGTTGTTTTGTCACAACTAAAAACTTGTTTTTAGGTTTCCCCTCCTTCAGCCTCTATGTACTCCTGGAATTCATGCTCATTTTTCAGCCCCCTTTTGGTCCAAAATTTTCACCCCCACCATGCCCTTAAACCCCCGTGTATGCCAGTTTTACGGTTTCCCTTTTATCTCTCAAACCAGCCTTTGGGTGGCCTTAAAAATTTACACACTTTTCCCCCACTAATTTTCAGGCAAAATTTTTTTTACCAAATCTTCATGAAAAAGCCAGGGCCCTTTTTACAAAAAAACGAAGTCATAAAAGTATCTTTCCGCAATTTTTTCTCCAAATTTAAACCAAAACCAATAAAAACCCTTTTCAAAAACCCCTTTCCAATACTGGGGGAACTCATTTTTTTTCAGCAAAAGTTAAAACCCCCTTGCAAAAAACACATCCTTTATTTAAAATTTTTCCCTTTGGGCCACTATGGAACAAAAGGTTGTGTAGGGTTACTTTATTACTTCCTGGACAAAAACGGCCACACTTTTACCCCTTTCCATTGTTCAATGTTTGGGTTTTCCCTTAAAAAAATCGTAAATTTTTCAACCTTTTTTTACCACAGGCTTGGCAAATGGGGGGCTTTCTTTGGAGCCATGGTAGCCCTTTTGAAAAGCAAGCACTAAAGGGGAAAATTAAAAGAAATATTTCCCTTGGGGCACGGAGGGGGCCTCCTCACTGGGAAACAAAAGCCAGGAAATGGCTGCCGCCCTGGCTCACGCCGGGGGGTAAAGGGGTCCCCGGACGAACAAAACTCGCGAGGGCAACCAAAGAAAAGGGGAGCCATGTTTTATTTCGAAAATACCCCTATTTATTGGCGAATTTTTCGATTTGCCGGGAACTAAAAGAAAAGCGGGGGGGGGCCACTGTATAAAAATTTTTCTAGGGAGTAGGGTTTGGTTTGACAGCAACCCCCCGGGGGGGACTACCATCCCCGCCAAGTGAGTGGGAAAACAAAGCCGTAGCTGTTTTAAAATGATGGTTTGGAATTTCGGTGTCCCTTTTTTTTTTTTTCTCATAAAAAGGGAAAATTTCAGGTAACCCTTCTGCACTTTTTTCTTAAAAACTTTGATCAAAACTAAAACATTCATGTACAAGCATTTTTTATATATGTACACCCCAACCCCCTTTCCCCCCCCCCGGGGTTTTCCCTTTTATTTTCTTACTAGTTCTTGTTTATTTTCTCTTACTTCCATGGGGAAGTGGAACAGAATTCTTCCTCCGTAAGCCATGCGTGTTGTAAGAGGCGACTAAAATGCCGGGAGCAAGGGGCTAGTAACCCCCTTCTCCTGTATATATTACTAAATGTAAAAGGAGAAGCTTTCGTTTTTCCTTTTGGGCCACCCGACCTCGGTGGGATACAGCCGGTGTGTTGAAAGAAAGAAGATATATATGTACGTACGTACGCGTGCATGTGCGTGTGTGTATTTTTTTTTTTTCAACAAGTCGGCCGTCTCCCACCGAGGCAGGGTGACCCAAAAAAGAAAGAAAATCCCCAAAAAGAAAATGCTTTCATCATCATTCAACA